AATTTCTTGTAGGCACTTGGTGTGTCTTTAGCACACTTGTATTTAGGAGTCTTAAATTCCCCCCAAAATTCTCCTTCATGTTCTCTTATAGCTCCAGTGCTTTTAGAGCTGTTTTCTTGTCTTGTTATAATAGCAAAATAACCTAGAACTTTCTCTGGGAAGAGTTTTCCTTCAGTTATCTGCTGAATCCTGCTTGGACTAGCCACATTTTTCTCTGCCAGGTCTACTTGGGTCAAAACAAATACCACCTTCCTTCCTTGAAGATCTGCTTGAGGACCAAGTCTGTCATAATGTTGCATTCAGCATCCACAGATCTATCTTGAATACACATGTGATGGTAGTAGGATTCTGCATAGAAGCTTTGCTGATACTGAAAATAGTTTCCTTCGTGTCTGTCAGGAGCTGTGCCTGATGTCACAGTATTAGTCACACCTGGTAGGTCTACAAGCACCGTCCTCCGTAGTTCAGGGCCTTTACACTTAAGAACATGGTCTCAGAGCTAACAGTACAGCCTTCTTTCACATTTTCTCGTATTCAGAGTTCTATTTCATGTCTTACTGCAGCAAGGTCTTTCTCTCTGATAGGACCAGACTCCCAGGAACTATCCTTAAACAAAGCCACAAGGTGAGAACCTTCACTCAGAGTCATCTTCACTGGAAAATGTGTCATCACCTCCCCAGATCTTCTCCGGAATATTTGTACTTGAGCAATCATTTCCAACACACTAGTTATTTTTCCAGCACTGTGATCTCTAACCACAGTGTTACCTTGGCACATGATCTTGTGTATTACAATCAGCATCATAATCACACAGAACATCAAGAACTTCAGAATGTGTGCCAATCAGAGATTTCTTACGCTTCCTCTGGTGGATGTCTGTCATCTTCCTGCAATACTACGTTTCTCAATTCTTTGTTCATTTTTCAAACATTCCAAGATTCTCTGGTACTTTATCCAGAAGCATTTCTTGAAGTTGGTCGATTTTCTCTTTGCCACCTTTCTGTAGTGCTTGTCACTTTCAGTTCCATGATCTGTCACTCTAAATGCTGTTTCTCCAGGTGCACCTGTGGTGAAAGCTGAGGCTTTCAACAATCTTGTCAAAGTTGGGTGCCAGTTTTGCCAGGTCCTCTGAATTGGAAGGGCTTTTCTAATTTTCTGTAAACAGATATATTCAATGTCAGACACAATCTATTTATAGGCACTAAGGTCAGGTATCATATCTTTCCACTGATCAAAAGTCTTTTTGACTGTGTAGTCACCCCTCATAGCAGACACGCAAGTATATCTTTGATCATCAATAGTATGAGATATCCAAGTTTTAAGAGTCTTGTAGCTAATCTCACTGGCCAAAACTTCCTGCGGGGCTGGTAACCATGTTTAATTGGAGAAAGTTTCAATCTACATAAAGGAAGGTTAGTTAGAGAGGAGAACTGCTGAAATGATGTCCTGAATTGGGGACTCTGAGAAGCTTAAGGTGGGATGTTGTGGATGATAAATACTTCATGAAACCAGATGCAGTTTTTGTAGTGGTCAGCTCTGTTTCACTAAGGATTGGCAGACCTCACAGGCCACGTCATAGTGGCCCAGTGTAGTCGCCCCGTCCTGCCAGTGAGGAGGTCACACAGCCACTGAGGTGGCCATGCAGGAGCCCCAGTGTCAGCCCCAGTCTGGCTCCTGCTTCAGGAGCGACCCAGGAGGAGGCCCATGGCAACAAGGACATAGAAGGCCATGATTCTTGAGCTGAGCTGTATGGAATCAAATACCGCATCTGTTTAATAAAGTTTTATAAAATTCCTTACTGAAGTTTCTGCAGGCAAATAAATTTGCCGTGAGAAGTTTGAATCTTAGGCTAACCCTGTGAAAGCATGACTTTTGAGGACGGGAGCTTTCTTAGCAATAAATTATAGCAAGATGGCAGAATGGGTTAACCAGTGGAAGATGAAGACTTTTCTCACTTGGGATCAGTCAGTGAGGATTAGGGTTTGGTGACAGCTTCATGATTGAGGTGGTGTTTGACCTTTGACTTGAGGATATGAAGGGAGGAAATAGCATTTCATTGGGAAGAAAGACTGTAAGCAGGGGCCCAGAGATGGGAAATGCAAGGGGCATATCAAGCATTGTAAGTTGTGTGGTATGGCTAGAGTCTGGGTTATAGCGGATATGGGACAGAGAGCGGGTATTTGCAGGTGTGGCTGGAAGGGTAGACTAAGGCTAGATCATGGAGACTTGTATATCCTATGAAGGAATATGATTTTTATCCTACAGGGAGCCAGTGAACATACCCATAGCAAGGTGATCTGATCATTAGGAAAATTGTTCTGTCTCCAGTGTATAGGATGATGTAGCAAGAAGATAGGCTGGAAACAGAAAGAGCTTATGCTAGTGTAACCAGCCAGGTGAGAAGTAATAAGGCTTTAGCCTGGGTTAGTAGCAAAGGGCATGGAGAGGAAAAGACAGATTTTAAGCAAAGAGTCAAAGAGGATTTGAACATGGGGCATGGATGAGAGGGCGATAGCAAATATGACTGAGAGGTTGATGGGTAAAACAAAGCCATATCGAGGGGACATAGGGTAACTGGAAAAGGAGAAGATTTGGAAGGTGAAAGATGAGCTTAGTTTTAGACATGTTGATAAATCACAGTGAAAAAATACTTTAAAAAGTTGAACAAAAATCTACTTTATCAGAACATCATTAAATAGGAAAGATGTAATACAATGGAAAAAGGCATGGATTGTATTAGAGTTGATTGTTGTGGTTATGATTTTATTCTGTGTGCTTGCTGGTATCAGATTCTTATTAGAGACAGAAGGAGAGAGAAGAGGGGAGAGGGAGGGAGGAAGGAGGGAGGAAGAAAGAGAGCGCAAGATTATACTGTATAGCACAGGGAAATATATACAAGATCTTACAGTAGCTCACAGCGAAAAAAATGTGACAATGAATATATATATGTTCATGTATAACTAAAAAATTGTGCTCTTCACTGGAATTTGACACAACATTGTAAAATGATTCTAACTGAATAAAAAATGTTTAAAAAAAAGAGAGAGAGCGCAAGAGAGATTTGAGTAAAATAAAAGTTAGCTAGGTGAAATATTTTTGTGTTTACCATCTCGTAAGGAAAAAATAAGAGTCCTGAATATGAGTTTATGGTTCCACATTGTTAGGCTCAGTTAGTGCTGTATAATCCATATGAAACTGTCAAGAATAATTAAGTCCTAATGAAACATTCTTAGAAAAAATAATGAGAAGTTATTTAATAACAAGATCATTACTTAAATTGCTTTCTAGGGTCTTTCTGAAGTGGTACTGATGTTGCTAAAATCACAGTGTATGATGACTCTTCTAATCGGTTCCAAGCCATTTTAACTCTAAGCTGGCTCAAACCTGTTAGTAACTGGGTCAGTTCCTACACCTCCAAGTCACAAACCCAATTTCCCTGTCCAAAGTGACATGAATGACAGAACTCTCATTCAGGCACTGAGATAACCCACCTGGATGCCTGAGGCCTCAAAAATTACATTTTCCTTCAATTACATGGACAGTTCAAGCAAAACTTGACTCATTCCTTGACTTGGAAATTCTTGGTAACCGTGCAGGTCTGGTGCTCATGAGAGATCTTCTGTGGACAGGCTGGAGAAATGTACTAGAATGAGAGGCACCAGGGAACATTCCTTTCTTTCCATTTAATATGACTTTTAAACATTACAAAAATAATGCGTTTCCTATTAAAAGACTAAAACCAGCCAGAAATGTATGAAGTGGGAGGACATCTCTTATGCTTTGCTTTCAGTATCCCTGAATTTCCTCTTCTCAAAAGCAACCAGGCTGCACGTGCTTTTTCCCTTTCTTTTCCTTTCTTTTTTCCCCTCTTTTTATAAGCGCTTCTGTGTGGACACCTGTGTAGTCACACTCATGCAACCGCTTCCCTGCCACACAAATTCTTATTGCTCACCACCTACAAGGGTTAACCCCTTTAGGCGGACACATAACTTTTGAGAAACTGATTAAAGATGTTCTCCCTAGAAAAAAAATGCATGTGTAAGAAAAACACTTGCATATAACTTCAGGAGGTTCAGGGAACTCCAGAAGCTCAGAGAGTCCATGAACTTTAAAGAATCTCTGTTATAAATGAGTAGAGAAGCTCTCAAAGCCAGAATCCTCAGACTCACACTGTGCTTGACTTTCCTGTGACTTGGAAAAGGTGTTATCACTGTTAGTGTCCATTTTGTCCTCCTGTATTTTGGAAATAATTACATCATCTATTATTGACTCCACAAGGATTTTATGAATATCCTTAGGTTCCAAAATTACTGATAAAGGAGATTAAACAGAACAGGAAGAGAGACCATTTTTAAATCCTTGGAACTACTCTTAGCTTGAGTAGGTCTGATTGTGGGAGACTCAGCTTGCTTTTCCAAAGTGCTCTGTGCTCCTTACCCAGTCAAAGATTTATACAACACATGTAGTTTTCTTTCAAGATTAAGATTACAATTTGGCAGGTGGGTGTCTAATTAATTTCTAATGTCTTTATTATATTTCTATATTTATGAAATATATTGTATTTTAGATATTTGCAACTGTCGGTATTTTAGTTAAACCTCTGACAATAAATGAGTATTTGTTCATTTTACAGAATGACTGTGACTTGGAAAGAGGCCCTGATGAGAAACCAGATGAACATCAGCAGTTCAGTTTAAAGAGTGAGCCCCAAAGCCTTCCATGGTCCAGAAAAGTCTATGAGTTCTACAATACTCCAATTGTCAAGTTCTGGTTTTATACGGTTGGTCTCATTTCAAAAATTATATTTATTCTTTGTGAGGGTTAATTGTTGATTATAACTTTGATAATGATATGCTTGATTTACCAATTTGTGGAAAAAAAGTGAAAATGCTGTAAACCTTTTTTTTTTTAATGGGAAGACTGACAGAGGACGTAAGAAAGAAGTTTGGAGGGAGGTAAGAAAAGGTTAGGGCAGATCTCTCCTACTTTGGGAGTTAAAGTATAAACATTTTCTACTTTTTCTTTTTTTTGAGTATTTCCGGTTAGCACAGCTGGTACTGAGAATTTGTGGAACAATAAAATTAACAATAGTGGTTGTAGAAGTAAGTGATGGGGGTGGATTCTTTTCCCACCTTGGGTAAATAAAAAAAAAATCAGTAGTTGAATCGATTTTTTCTTTGTAGGAATAATGTGTAATATAGACCAAAAAAATGCAGGTGTTTGTTTTTTGTCTTCAGTAGCAGATGCTTATAAATATTAAGAGGGCAATAAAAATTTTAAAAGTTGAATTCTATGAACAAATACTAAATCTATTATGAATGATAGAGATACAGAGAAAGCAGTAACTGTACTTTAAATGTACTGAGTACCTTTCACATTTATTTATTAGTGTTTATTTTTCTTTTTTTAATGAAAACTACAGAACATTTTTTTAAATTGAAGTATAGTTGATTTACAATGTTCTGTTAGTTTCTGGTATATGGCAAAATGATTCAGTTATATTGTTTTTCATATTCTTTTTTTATTATGGTTTATTATAAGATATTGAGTATAGTTCCCTATGCTGTACAGTAGGGTCGTTTACTCTTTTTTTAATTGAAGTATAGTCAGTTTATAACGTATCAATCAGTGTTTATTTTTCTAATGCTTATCTATAGTTAAATTGCTCATGGCCAAGGTTGTGTATTTCTAAACATTTGAAGTGTGACTATAAAAGGATATTTGTCCAAATGTGTTATATTTCAAAATATCTACTTGCCTAATCACACACTTACTTCATATACTTACTGAATAAGCACGTAGCTCTGAATAATTTTTATCTGTTTTCAAAGACAAAATTTTCCTTCCAATGTTGAGGTTTCATCATTTTTGAGAATGTGCAACAGAAAATCCTAGAGACCCTGATACTAGCTCCAGGAAAATTTTAACCATGGTCACATCGTTGGGTAAAGAGTATTCAAGAATTTCTTTCCTTGGCAATGTCCAGCTTATGAGCTCTCAGAGAGAGGAGCAAAGCTAAGCAAGTAGAACAACAGCAGCAAAAATAGCTGAGAGGTTGAACAAACTGGCCAGCCAGCCTGCCCACCACAGTGGGCGGTGTTAGCAGAGAGCACAGGCGTTTCAGTCTTGGCTGCTGCGCTGCCAGCTTGTGGTGCATGTGCTTTATGGAAGCAGTGTCTTGTTATAAATGCTATGATGAAAAAGCAAAAATGTAAACATTTTTGGATATCTTTTTAAGAATTGGAAAGAAACTTTTTGAGTCAGAAACAATACCTTATTCCAGTATCTACAGTGTTTTAGTGCCTGACCGCCATGAAACCAATGACAACAAGTTTTTAAAATGGTTGCTTGATAGTACAAATAAATTTAAATTATGTCCCTAAGGAGGTCATTAAATGTATTCACACTTTGAGACATAGACCTAGAGAAGTATAGAATTAATAGAATTTACTTTAACTTTCTTAACATGCTTCTCTACGAAGCTCCTTACTCATAGGCAATACTGATACCCATCATGCCTGCCTGAAATACCACGTATTGTATGTAGGATCATATGGGTTAGTCAGAAGTGGTTTCAGCCATTCTCTGTATAACTAAGCTTAGAAGAAGACTTATCAAACTTAAGTAGAGCTCAAAAAGATACGAGAAATAGGGATCCGGGTTAAAATAATCTAATTCTTGTAAGAACACACACACACACACACAGGCACTTTTCTCTGTATCGATCTGGGGTTTTAATATGTGTTGTTCAGCTAGCATTGTGCGTTGTCTCTGAAGCTATTTAAAGGACTGCACCATCTCATGCATTGTTGGTGATTGTGGAAACTGGTGAAGCCTTTCTGGTGGGCAGTTTAGTAATGTGTCACAGTTTTAAATGTGTGTGCCCAGTTATTCTGCCTTTAGGAATCAATCATAAGAAGGTAGGAATGTTAGATAAGATCACAGAGCTATTAGTCACTGCGTGTCTATGTGTATGTGTTTACTGTGTCTTAATTCTTGGAAGAGACTGAAAATCTAGCTTTAATTATACACAGTAATTAAACAAACATTTCTTAAATGTCTATCGTGGGTCAGTCTGAGTGCTTAAGTGCTATAGATAAAAACATCAACAGTCTTTAATTACAAAGACTTACAGTTGGACAATACTTTTCCACTGACCAGAATATTTTAATCAACATAAAATAAAACTCCTAGCATTAGTAAACATCACAATTTCTTACATTTGAGAATAGTCGCCTACCTCTCTTCTGGCATACTTGGGGCACACGTTTTCTGTGTTTCAGCGGAGGGGAAGGTGTGTGAGTCCCTCCTGGCTTGCTGTTAGTCTGACAGGGTCCACAGCAGAATGTGCAGGGTTCTGAAAATTCTGGTCAGGAACCAACAAGATGAGACAGCGCCCCTCTGCATGCATTTGAGAAGAGTGATCTTCATTCCTTCCACAAAATCCTAGATTAGAAAACTGGATTCTTGTACTTTCCTTGATACTAGGTCATCAATAATCAGAGGTGGGCCAGTTATATTTTCATGTTACTCATGTTTAAATTCACGTGTGCGTTTCTGGGTCTGCTTGGCATCCTCCACTGTGACTCTCACTCACGTCCAGGGAACCTGTGTCCCCCTCACAGATGGTGTATTTGGCATTCCTCATGCTGTTCACCTACACGGTGTTGGTGGAGATGCAACCCCAGCCCAGCGTGCAAGAGTGGCTCGTGATCATTTACATCTTCACCAATGCCATTGAGAAAGTCAGGGAGGTGAGTTACCCCTTCTACCTTTGTCTTCTACATGCCTTTGCTGGAGGTGTTCTGGGCTTTGCTGATGAAAACGGAGCGGTCAGGGATGGGGGTGAGACAGGTAATGATCCTGATTTGCATGCTATGTGTATGGGAAGGGTATTTGGGGGAAAAAATCTCTGATCTCAACCTTTTATTGTTGCCAGATACTTTCTGCTGGTTGTTGCTCTTTGGAAGCAGTTATTTTCAAGAATGTCTTAGTGTGTTTCTCAGTCCTAGAATGATGGTATTAGTTGTTATTAGACACTCCAACTATTTGATTTCCCAGAAGAGGATTTTTTTTTGTAAGAATGATTTTTTTTAATAGCCTAACATTACTTGCGTATTATCAGTTTCATTTCACAGAGTGGCTCATAAATGGGCAAAGTTGTGCAATATGTAAATAATTTACTTATAGCTTTTGAAAGTTCCTACTAAACATTTTTGAACACTGAAGCAAAAAATTGCTCTGGGGCAAGTAGTCCAAGAATCAAAACAAAGAAAACTTTTCATTTTTAGTTTGCAATGAGTCATTAAAAAAAAAAAGAATATTCCTTTGCAGTTGTAACTACAATCATACAGTTATGACTTAGACTGTTTTAGGTATCACTGTATATGTGTCTCTAACTCTATGCATTTAGGTACATTGATTTTGTCCTAGAGCTAATATGACCAACATTATACACTATGTAAATGTATTCTTAGGAATTATACTTATATTGCCTGCTAATTACTATTGTGGAGTTTATAGATTGTAGAAAACAATTTAGCAGAAAAACGTTACGCAAATTCTACCGGTTTTTATGCTTCAAGGAAACTAGGTTTACTGTTTCACATTTCAATTTGTCTGATACTCTGTTGCAAGGGTCATTTCTTATAACAGTGAGTTCGAATATCACATTCTGAGTAATTTGTTAACAACTCACTAAATAGCAGTAGTAGGACCAGATTACGGTTCTTTGGTTTCAAACCGGTCTGCTTTGCACAAGTCTGTACACCTCATGAAGTGAAATTGTAGCTATATTCCATTGCAGTATTGAGTTTTAAAATGTCTTAGTGCTTCCCAGTGTTAGTTTAGGATTAATGAAAGCTAGAAAAACTTTTTTCTTTTACATTTCTGGTTGGGTTTTTAAATAACTGACCAGCACTAACAATGCCATTAAAATATATTTATAGAACTGTTTAAAAAATTCATTTCCCAAAGATAACTTAAGTCTTCAAAATCCCATTGTGATCCGAGGTTTGGCTGGATTCAGATTACTTTTAAATAAACAATTGATGTATTAAAGATCCTATTGATGAGATTTGTAGATTATACCCCATTCTTTAAATATCCCTCTTTCTTTCATCATTTAGGTCTTAATTTCAGAACCTGGGAAGTTTACCCAAAAGGTGAAGGTATGGATTAGTGAGTACTGGAACCTAATAGAAACTCTGGCTATTTGCCTGTTTTCAGTGGGTTTTGGCCTTCGGTGGGGTGACCCTCCTTTCTACACAGCGGGAAGACTAATATACTGCATTGACATCATATTCTGGTTCTCACGGCTCCTGGACTTCTTCGCTGTGAATCAACATGCAGGTCCCTATGTGACCATGATTGCAAAAATGGTGAGTCCAGTCCGCTTGTGTAACCTGGTGTTCTTTTAACAGTTCTACCTAATTTCATGGTTCACATCCAATAATTCAACTTCTGAAAATTTTTATACTTCATCACTGCTTTCATTATAACCATAAACTCACATTTAACAAATTTCGTTGGATAACATATTGGATAGTTGGATACTAGCTTACCATTTTGGTTAAGGCCAGATGATATGACATTGAATTAAATGTGTCTCTGAGCACGGTAATTCCTAAGGGCCAGATTTGTGTGAAGCTTCCACTAATAATATTTTCTGCTGAAATATTTATTTATCTTTTTATGTCTCCACCCCCAGCCAAGGCTTAAATAGAAATTACTGTGTGCTATATACTGTGCTATGTACTTTGTATGTAATAACTCATTTAATCTTCAAAACAACTTTATGAGATAGGTACTATTATTAGCCACATTTTTACATTCAAGGAACCGGAGGTTAGGTAAATTTCCCAAAGGCTGAAGTCGGGGAGCCAGGATTCATATCTGGGCCACCAGCTCTGTCTCCCATCTGAGCTCACTGCAGTTGTGCTAGCCCTGTCCAGCTGGCTTTGCACAGGACCCAAGAAGGACAGCATCTCAAGGTCATCTTTGCTTTTCCTTCTAGAATCCCCACTGTCAGAGAAGGGGCAAGTTCTTGAGAGAGAAAAGTAGTGCTGAAACAAAGAAAGAGGATGGAAAAGGGAGGACCTCCAGGACTCCAGCAATAGATTTTTCTTACTTTGTATTTTTCTCTTAGACCAGCAATATTTTCTCTGGTCTTGGTGACACTGGTATTAATTTGGAAGGCTATGCTGAGGTAACCAGTGCCTCTCGTGATTTAGCACAAGTTTATTTCTCCCTAATGTAAAGGTTGATGTGTGCTCATGGGAGCCATCCTCTACCCAGGGACTCAGAGATCCCAAATCCTTCCATCTAGTGCCATAGCCGTGTCAACATATGGCTTTTAAGGTTTCCTCTGACAGGGAATGAGAGGGTTGGAGAAAGTCTAACAGCTTTTAACTGCTCTGGACAGGAAGTGTCTCAAGTCCCTGTTACTCCACAGCCCATTGGCCAGAATAGGTCACGTGGCTCCTGCCTCATGGAAGGAAGGCTAAGAACTGTAGAGAAGCTCAAGGAATACTCAGGGAGTAGGTCTCTGCCCAGTGAACAAATGGGATGAACTGATGTGCATTTAGTAAGTGAAACAAATGATTTAAAAGTTATAGTACATGTGCGATATATACATGTGTATACTATATAAGCTCTATAAACAGTCCTCCGTTGTGCATTATAACAGTAAGCCTTACTTTTTTTTCTCTTTTTAAAAAAAATTTTTTGGAGGGGGCAGGTAATTAGGTTTATTTATTTATTTATCATTTTTTTAAGTGGAGATACTGGGGATTGAACCCAGGACCTCATGCATGCTAAGGACACACTACCATCTTGCTACACCTTCCCCCTAGTAAGGCTGACTTTTAATACAAAGACCAAGTGCTTGAGAGTTAATGAGCCACTGGATTTAACAAACATCATTATACAGTTGCTTTCGCATCTTTTTTTTTTGTTTTTAGTTCTTCACCTCATCAAGGTGTTCAATAGCTTGGAGTTCTTCAGCAGATTCTTGGCCTGATCAGTTTCTCAGACTCTAATTAATCTTGAAGAGAATCCTGGGAAATAAGATTCCATTTTACTACTTTGAATATCCCTAATTTTTATTCTTTTCCTAACCTCTGGTCCAACTGGTGAAAAGTTGCATATTAGCTAATTAAAAGTTGTTTGTATGTTGTCACGTCTTAAAAAAAGAAAGGGAGGTGGATACGGCTCAGTGGTAGAGCACACGCTTGGCATGCACAAGGTTCTGGGTTCAATCCCCAGTACCTCTATTGAGAAAAAAAAAAAGCACAGATTCTCTACTGTTAGTACATTGATATTACTCCATAGACTACATTGACATGAAACACATACTGTGCAGAGGAAAGAAAATCTTTTAGCCAAAGGAAATCCAGCTCTTCATGGACTCGGCATTTTAATCAATGACTAGACAGTCTTACTATTTACTGGCAGGTATAATGATGGTGGCCTCAGGAGTTTGATTTGTTTTACGTTTCTGATCTGTGGTGAAATTCTGGCTGTGCTGTGCTTTCCTGCAGACAGCAAACATGTTCTACATTGTGATCATTATGGCCATAGTCCTGCTGAGCTTCGGGGTGGCTCGCAAGGCCATCCTCTCGCCAAAGGAACCCCCGTCATGGAGCCTCGCTCGCGATATCGTGTTTGAGCCGTACTGGATGATATATGGAGAAGTCTATGCGTCGGAGATCGATGGTACGTAGAGGGTTCCGCCGTCACAAGGAAATGGAACCCCGGAAAACAATCATCTGAATCTTAAAAATGTCAAGCATGCGTGGTATTCTGCTCAGTTAATGTCCTAAATATATTTGTCTAGAGTCATAGGACTGTGATTCATCTTATCTCACTCTTTTAAATTCTTTATTTGTAGTTTGTTCAAGCCAGCCGTCCTGCCCTCCTGGCTCTTTTCTTACTCCATTCCTGCAAGCCGTCTACCTCTTCGTGCAGTATATCATCATGGTGAACCTGTTGATTGCTTTCTTCAAGTAGGTTATTTTACTCAAATCCAGTTATTTTGTTTAAATCAAAATGGGGGCAGGGATTTTGAAAGACTCACATGTATTTCGAGGATGTGACTTTTGTTTTTCTTGTGTTGTATGTTTTACTACTATGGTTTTAAATTATGGGCATGGAATTCCTGGTGGGAAGGCAGCAGAGTCTGAGAAGAGAGAAAAATAGGGAGTTAGTGTACTAAATAAATAAACAGGGAGAGTGTAATAAATGCAGAATGACGGGAGATCACACACTGTGGTTAAGCCGCAATTTGGAATCACGGAGAGTAACAGTTGATGACATTGGAAGCTGGCTGAGGAGCCTTTGATAACTTTTCTTTCCTTGGCCCTCAGTTACCCCATTCCCTGTCTTCTGCTGTCCCACCCTTCACTTCTCAGTCCCTTTTCTGGACCATCTTCCTCTTCTCAGCCTTTTAACACTGGAGCATCCCTGGGCCCAGACCTTGCTCGTCCTTTGTTGGTGCTTCGTTTGGTGGTCTTGTTCAGTTTCCTGTATGCATGTGTCTTCAGCCTGAATCTCCCTCTCCTGCAGATCCAACTGCCCTGTTCCATTATTAGTCACATGTATGGCAGATTTCTCAACTTTTAAGTGTCCAAATGCTCGACCTCCCTTCTTTCCCAGCATATACTTATTCTACTTGTAGTCTTCCCCAAATCTGTATGAACACAAGTTTCTGTCAAAGCTTCATCTTTCCCATTGTTCAGACCAAAAGCCTTGGAGTCATACTTCTACCTCTAAGCTGTCAGGACTACCTGTTGACGCTACCTTCAAATAGATTCAAATAGGTCATCAATCCAACCACCTCTCACCACCCCACTGCTGCTACCACAGAACCTCCTGATTTATTTCTCTGCTGCTATGGCCCCTATATTCTGTTCTCAACACAGTAGCCCTAATGGCACTCAATTTTTTTTTAATTGAAGTATATAGTCAGTGACAATGTGTCAATTTCTGGTGTACAGCATAATGTTTCAGTCATACATATATATACATATATTCTTTTTCACATTGTTTTTCATTCTAGGTTACACAAGATATTGAAAATAGTTCCTTGTGCTACACAGACATTTATTTTTTTAATCTATTTTACAAATAGCAGTTAGTTTTTGCAAATCTTGAACTCCCAGTTTATCCCTTCCCACCTCTTTTCCCCTCAGTAACCATAAGTTTGTTTACTATGTCTGCAAGCCTGTTTCTGTTTTGTAGATAAGTTTATTAGACATTTAAAATTTTTAATTAATTAGTTAATCAATCTGTTCCCTAATGACCCTTTAAAAATACAAGTCAGATGATGTCACTCATCTGATCCAAATGCTTCAGTGGTTCTCCATTTCCTTCCGGGTAAAAGTCAAATTTTCTACGATGTCCTGGAGAGCCCCACCTGATTTGGCTTCCCTGCTACTTCTCTAGTCACCCATCACATTTCTCTTGCCCTAATCCATTCTTCTTCAGCCGCAGTGGCCCCGCACGTGTTCTCAAACAACATAGGGGTGTTTGCAGTTACTGTTCCCTCTACCTGGAGTGTTCTTCTCCCAGATGTCAGTGTGGCCCATCCCCTCACCTCCTTCTAGTCTTTCTCAAATGTCCCCTCTTTAATTAGCCCTGAACTCAAGTCTGTTATTTAAAAGTGCAGCCTCCTTTCCTTTGGCCAACTCCTTGGCATGGCTGGTCCTCCTTACTCTTCTTTCCTTATACTACCCACTTATGTAATATATACAAGTATATTTTATAATTTGTTTATATATTGTGGGCTTTTTTTTTCCTATATACCTGTCTCTTATCCTGGAATATAAACTCCACAAGAACAAGTTTTGGGGATTTTGTTTGTTTGTTTTGCTCATGAATTTATCTCAAGCACTGTAAAGAGTGCTTGGCACGTATTTGTTTAACGGATGAAAATAATCAAGTGATGGGTAGAAACTAGTATTTTCTGAATGCCTCTTTTATGCCAGGCAGTGTACTAGGTATTTCATTGATTGACTGTCCCACTGCATAGAGAAGGGTAAGAAAGTGGAAATCAATGCATAGGATTTAAGTAAAGAAAATAGAGAGGACAAAGGTTGGAGGCAGGCAAAATAAATCAGAATACTTAAAAAGAAATGAATTGTTGCACATATATGGGGAAGACATACCTTTTTTCTTGTTACCTGATTATATGACAGCTATCAATTCCCTTTAACCTCACCATTTTACAAACTTACAGCATTTGCTGGTGTTTAGTTATTACAGCTTTTTTTTTTGATATTTCAAATAGTATTAAGAGTGGGTATGAAATTTTTGTTTCTCAAAAACAGCAGGTATCAAAAGAGAGGTTGAGGAATCCTCACATAGGCCAGTCTTATCACTGAGAGGAACACATGGAGGGCCACACAAGCTGAGCAACCCCAGGTCTGAGTGCTTGTCCAAGGGCCCCCTTTCCAGGTTCTTGATACCAATAATTACAAAGAACCTGAGCTACACTGTGAAGATCGCCCCCTGCTGGTGGGAAGGCTGTACTCACACTTGGTCTCGCAGTAGCATTTAATCTTGGTGGTTCTCAACCCTGATTGTGCAGAATTACCTGGAAGACTTGCGAAGACACAGATTACTAATTTGGTAGTTCTGGGCTAGGGCCCACGAAGTTGCATTTCTGACACATTCTCAGGTGATGCCTGTGCTGCTGGCTCAGTGACCACACTTTGAGAATACTGTTAAGCCCAGTCATCTGTGTTTCCTTCATCTGTTTTACGGACTCTGAAACTTGGCCGCTTCACTTATCCTAAACTGGCTTCCTCTGGGATAGTTCAGGTTCCTTCTCTTTATCCTAACTCCAGTTTGGGGTTGCCTGTACTTTTATTTGCCAAATTGGGCTGCCCTTTTCAAGTACTTGTCTGCCATCTTTCTCTAAAGAGACTAAATTACATATTAGCCTAAGCAAAATGTTAACATGGATGGTCCATTGTGCCTTCCCCACCCATATCATGTTATAGACTTAAAGTCAAGTGAAGGATGATGTTGTTTCAGAATTTGTACCGTCCACCACAACTTCCATCACATGTTCCGTAATATTGACACATTTACTGCACTGTCTGCATATCATAATTGATGTAATTGAGGCCACTGAAAGGTGTTACTTCTCTTGCAAAATTATTCTTAATTTATCTAGCTTCTGAATCAAAGCTCTGCTTATTGATTTACTTTAGGATGAATTGATTCTTCTTCCCTGTCTCTTCTCCATTAATATTCTTTTGTTTGAATGTTTTAACTAGGATTATTCTAGCAGTCGTCACATTTGATATTAAGAGAATCTCTTCATAAGGCTGATGCTGTAGAGGAACATGAAAGCTGTTTACCATGGATGATGAATTACGGACTGAAAAGATTCTCTTATATGAGAAGAGAGGGTGAATCAAGAATAGTGTTACATTCCAGAGGACAGTTTCTGTTTATTACATTTAAAATGTTAGCATTTTTCTTCCCTCTGATTGTGATTTCTACCTTTTTCTTATTCTGATCAGCATATTTTCTTGTAGGAGGTGATTAATGTATGTTGTTTGGTGGAAAAAGAATGATCAGTGCAATGGATCTTGTTTCTATTGGCTAACTGTGGTCATGTCAGGTGAACCAATCATAAAAGTTGGAAAATAAAGTGAGGATCTAACTGTTATGTTTCCGGACTCCATATTAAAACATTGTCCCCCTCTTACTACAACCTACAGTAATGTTTACATGGATATGGAATCCATCTCAAATAACCTGTGGAAGTACAATCGCTACCGCTACATCATGACCTACCACGAGAAGCCTTGGCTGCCCCCACCGTTTATCCTGCTGAGTCACGTGGGTCTCCTCCTTCGCCGTCTTTGCCATCGCCAAGCTCCAAATGACCAAGAAGAGGGTGATGTTGGATTAAGTAAGTTCTCATTGGTGGGGCAGGAGGAAGAGAGTCAAGAGTGGAGCTCCAAGGTGAAGGCACCTGGAACATTGTCGCTTAAATTCAGGGCACGGGATGGAAGGTTCTGGGAGTAAACTGACAAGAGAGTATCAACTGAGGACCTGAGTCTAAGTAAATACATTGATCTCAGCTTGTGGTTGTAGTACCTTTTGCTAAGAGGAACTGATACTTAGAAAGAAATAGGTAGGAACAGAATCTCTGCTTGAATGTGTAAAGGCTTTATGTCACCTTGAAAAATCCATGTTTTCTTTACTTACCTGGGAAGTGGTCAGAATGACCCCTAGAGAGTAGTCACAGCAACCTATACCGACTTCCTCGTTGAAGATGGACCCCAAATAGAAAGGATACGGAAGGTCTTGTGGACCAAGGGAAACAGATAAACCAGACTTCGCTTGGTTTATTCACTGCAGTCACAGCTCTCTGGTTCTCTAGTCTACTGAGTGTGGAGGTGATTCTTTATGGATGTTTCATATTTTCAAGAGCTACAACTCAGGATGAAAAACGTGGATTCTCTGTCTCTCTTCTTTTTTTTTTTTTTTGGCAAAGCCTAACTCTATGTATTTTGAGATTTTCCGAGTTTGTTTTGCTCATCCACATCCTGACTGCATGATACGACTGTCATACTAATCGTCACAAGAGAACATTCCTTCTTGTGGTTTACAGCTCTCTCGTGGTTCATCTCAAGCAATTCTACAGTTGGTTGTAGGCCCATTCCTAGATGATTCCTAGATAGAAAGGAAATGGGTGGCGTAAATCCACAGTCCTTTATCTCGATCCCTAAATCTAAAATACCTCTGAAAATGTAAAGTCCTTTTCTTCAGAAGTTGTAGGAAGACTCATTTGGACAGAAGAGGCTAATGGGACTACTGTGAAGCCATTTATCCTCTTTATCCCTTGTGGTAAGAATACTCACTGATTTTGCTGTAGAAATAATGTGTCTGATTTCAGGGTACTGCCCTAGCTCTAACCAGGGGTTTTTCTTCATTTATGGCATATGCACTGTATTAATTTGCCAGAACTAGAAAGGAAAACTTCTGAATTCTAAAACGGAACTGGTTCCAGGAGTTTCGGATAAGGGATTGTGGACTATTTATACATTTCAATGGGCCCTTAGGAGGACAGGTGCTGTCACAAGGTTGACAGGTGACACGCTTCTGCTCCTGCTGAGTATTGGCTCTGAGAAGTATTTTTCTCCTCTTGATCACTTTGATGACTTATTTTTCTTTTCCATTTCTTTCCCCCAAGAGATTTAGCCTTTATGAGGAAGTCAAAGCACAATTGATGTTAATTTAAAGCCTTGTAATTATACTTTAACTTTTAGGTTTCTAGTAGCTTGCCATCCCAGAACGATTGTAATCTATCAGGAGAGTGTGGAACCACTTGAGAGATCCTGGAATTAACTAGGATTTGGCCAGCTTTTCTAACATCATAGCAAAGAAACTTTCCTGGCCTTACTTTGATCTGGGCTTATAAGATGATTCTGGTATAAAAATCAAAGAAATGTTCTGATAGATAGAGGTGCATTCACCTGAAGCTCTGGAAAACTCTTGAATTTTCGTGAGATTGCTTCTGATCCCCGGTATTGAGGATCAGGATGGGTGCACATGGGGCAGCAGTGCCACCTGGTGGGCAGTTGCAAGAACGCACCACATTCTGCAAGCTGCCCCTGTTTCTGCAATTGCTCTGTGGGTTGTTTGCTCTCAGGAATCCACAGAAGGCTTAAATCATGACAATTCTGAAGTTCCTTGCTCATTGAAGACCCTTAATGCAGACATATAGGGTTGAGTTGGGGTGAGGGGATACTGGATTTTTTTTTTGTATATGAAGGATTCTCCACACCATAAAAACCATAAAACATTGTACTCTTGATTTGTGAACACATTTTATGGCTGAATTTTTTTAAGCCATCTTTTACAATTTTAAATTTGTATTTTTATCTCTCATTTTATTGGAAAACCAAAGAACACGTGCATTTCTAATAAATTCTGTGGAACTCAAATGGTTCTTTTTTCCCCCCAATTTAGGTGAAATGATCGAAGGAAGAGAACATTCCAGTTCTACCCTTTTTGCAACTACATTTTTATATTTAACAAGTATTAGAAACTTGCTCAAAAGATAATGTCTTTTTCTGTTAGATCAGAGTTAGAGCCAAGGTGGTAGACCAAATGTGATTGCTAAAGTTTGACATGGAATTGCATTAGCGTCATAACATCATGAAATAATATATCCTTTAATGAATTATAACTGTCAAAAAAGATGTAGAGCCTTGATTGGCTATTGACTGGTAATATCTTTTTTGCAACAGAAAAACTTTGGATATACAAACTCAGTGTATATATAAACTCAATGCAACAAGGTGAAACTTTCATTTACTTACTGGACTCATTTCAACAGACTGGCCTCTTCTAACCTTGATTGTAACTTGTAGGTTACTTATTGTTATTTTATTTCATAGTTTTTGACACAAAGTGGAAGAAAAGTCACTCAGACACTGTATCAGCTTCCTGTGGAGGGTGAATAATGATTCTTTTTATGTACTATACTTATTTCCACAGAACTCTACCTGAGTACAGAGGATCTGAAAAAACTTCATGATTTTGAAGAACAGTGTGTGGAAAATTACTTCCACGAGAAGATGGAAGGTCTGAACTGTAGTTACGAGGAACAAATCCGAATGACAACAGAAAGGTGAAAGTTATACATGTGTTTTCACCCCCTAAACTGCTACCTAAACCCAATTTTACTAGAATGTGTGAAAAAAAGTAAAACTACTTTTAAAACCCAGAGGTTTTGATTCTCTGAAATTTTCTCTAGTAGCGCGTAATATTCATGTAACCAGTGCACATTTATTGAGCATCTATTATGTTCCAGGTGGTCTTCTAAGTTACTGGAGATAAATGGTAAATAAGAGACCAGGGGCCCTTCCTGCATAGAATTTACATTCTGGTATATGCATGCAGAGGGACGAGGCGGGTGGAAGACAAAAATGTATGTAATTGAATGTCAGACAGTAGAAGATCAATGAGAGGGAAAAGTAGTATAAGGAAATAGAGAACAATGATGGCAAAGGGTCTGCTGGAGTTGGGGGTTGTGTTGGACTGTTTTCAGAGCCTGGCCCAGGAAGGATGCTCTGAAGCATTTGAGGAGGAGAGATCTGAGGGAGGTGGGGTGGCACACCTGGCCAAAGGAGCAACAAACACGGATATAGGTGTGTCCAGGGGCAGTAGGTAGGTCCAGAGGAGGTCAAGTGCAGGGGCTCACCCTGAGTGGTGCCAACACCTGTATGATGGACTAAAAAGACTAAAAAGAATTGATCAGAAGAGCGTAAGAAAAACTAAGAGAAGAGTGTATTGTTCTAATGTTAGTATCTATGCTGCCGAAGCGAGAACAGAAGACAGTATCATGAGTCAAGTGAATACAGAGTAAAACTTAAGAACCAGATATTTACAAACAAGTAATTCAATAACAGTAATCGTAGTAGTGAACATTAACACCAGTAGTCGTCCTATGCTGTTACATTTATCTTGAATTTTTTTCTTGGCATTTGAGTAGAGAAGGATTAGACGTTAGATAAATATGTAACTTCTGACAAATATTCTAGATTCTTTCACGGGCTCTAGAATTTCATCGTGAAGCTCCAAGTAAACTTCAAAACACAAGCAGTCGATTTTCCTTCTGGATAGAGCTACCTCCCCGTCCCTCTTTGTACATGATTGTCCTTGTTGAGGTCATCCTGGGGAGCTCGTAAGTGGCTGTGGGAGGGAGGGAAGGAAGAAGATTCTCCTGAGGTAACTGAGCAGTAGTTTGAAGACAGAGGGAAAGGAGATTAGGAGGATGTTTGCACGTTTGCCTGCTTCTGAAGAAGAGATCACTTTTATCCTTCTAGAGTTAAGTGAATTGCAATAGTAGAAAAAGAGAACACATGAAGGCTGTTTTATATCTTATTTTCTCTGTTTGGAACACTGGTTTCTTTTTGTCCCTAGTTCTGTAAGCCAGTGTTTCCCTCTCTCTGTTCTGCGGAGTAAGATGTTAACTGGGTACTTTTCCATAGTAAACATGTTTGGTGCATGAAATTTGGGAAATGCTACATCTGAAAAAAAGGTTTAAAGACTTTATCACAATGGGCATTGTGACTCAGTAGAGTTATAGCTTGCACAGGTCCTATCATTTTGCCTCGAAACCTTATGGGGAAACATTTGTGAGCGACTCCCAGCATGAAAGATGCTGGTGTAATTCATTTAGTGCTTCACGGGACCCTAGGACCCTGGTAGGACCTGCCTGGATCCCTGATGAGTTGCTGAGAGATGCTGGA